TTTCTGGAAAGTGTTTTCCATCTAAATTTTCCAGGAAAACCCTTCCCTGAAAACCAAGCCAAATTTTTCTTTAACTAAAATGTGTTTTCCGTTGACCAACTTTCATAATGGCAAATAAATACAAGAAAGTTTAGAAAGTGATTTTCCGAAAACTACTTTTCAGAAAACAAACACAGCCAAAAAGAAAACCATTTTTCTAAAAATCAAGTCAAAATTTTCTTTGACTGAAAAGTATTTTTCGTTGACCAATGTTTCTAATGGCAAATAAACACAGGAAAGTTTGGAAACTAATTTCCAAGAAACAAACATGGCCTCAATGAATAGCCTACACTTCGTTACAGGATCTATCCTAACTAATCAATGATATTTTTTAAAGTAAAATAGTCACATATAAATGAGAAAATCAACATGGATAGGCATCGTTTGGAAAGCAATGTAAAATTTACATTGCGTTCCATAAAAATTTTAAAAAAAATTACTAAAAATAATTTTTTTTTATATTTTGAATGTTTTGATAAACGAATTTTAAAAATAACTTTTAAAAATAAAAAAAATATTATTTTAATATATTTCAACATAAAAAATATTTTAAAAAATAACTGCAACCACTCTTTAAAAAATAAAATTTTAATTAAAATGGAGTGAAATGCATGTTTCAACTTATTGAGAGAAAAAAATAAACAGCAGCAAAACCAAAATAATATGGTAAAAATCATATTGTTTAATAACATGACATGATTCTTCACTTTGCTTGATTATTTTTGCTAAAAACATGATTGTCATAGTCATTTTGCACCCTATTTTTCTAGCAATGCAAAAAAGAGAAACAAAATGAAGAAAAAGCTAGTAGAAACAATTAAATATGCAACAATATGTTGTAGAAAGAACAAAAAATAAATAATTATATAGTGATTTAGTAGTAAGAGTTTGGAACCAAGAGATTTGCTCCCCTGTGGTCTCCAGTTTAAGCCATGTAGTTGCTACTATGATGGTCACTAACTTTAAGACATGTGAGATTAGTCAAAATACACGCAAGTTAACTCAAACACCCATATTAAAAAATAAATAAATAACAAGAAATAAATAGCAATAAACAATCTCAGACTCTCATTCTTTTCTGTTTAATTTCATATCTTTTTTAATCATCTATTGTGAAACTTGATGCAACCATTTGATATGACAACTAGTAGCTTATCAAGCATTATGACATCATCAAGGTCAGGTTTTCTTATCAATTATTTAAGTGTTGTTTCTAGTTGTCATTAATTGTTATATTTTCATTTATTTACATAAATTATTTTTATTTATTTAATTAGATGATGACATTGACATTGACATTTTAATTTATATTTATAAATTTTTATGGAAAAAAACATGTTGATAAGGACTGTATATTTAAAAAATTTATTGAAAACACATATACAATTTGTGGTGTAACTAGTGTATACACACACCACTAGATATCGACATGCGCTATGTCATGAAATTGGATTATTACCTTTTTTTTAATATATAAAAATGATGCTTAAAAAAGATTGAAAATAAAAAATGACAATATAAAAAGGGTTAAGCCAGCCTAGGTTAACCCGCCAAACCTGTCGTTTAGGTCATAAAGTAGGGATAACTTGATAGAAAAAAAGCGAAGAAAACTATAAAAAATCAATTTTTTAAAAGTTCAATGTCAAATGATGAAATAAAAAAATAAGTAAAAGAAGAAGAAGAAGAAGATATCAACTTGCATTAACTTTTTAAACCTGTAATCCGGATTATTAAACAAAAATCCACTTGAAAAAGCTTTAAAATTCAATTCCTAATCAATCAAATATTGAAGGATAAAATTGAAAAAAAAAAAACTAAATTATACAATGGATCCAAAGCAACAAATAATAATTTAAAAAATAAAAATCAATGTTGAAATAAAAGGAAATAACATTAGAGGGTAACTAAATTTTTTTATTGAAAGGTGAGATTGAACGAACTAAATGTTGAAGGATGAAATTAAAAAAAAAAACTATACAAAGAAATCCAAAACAAAAATAATAATTAAAAGATGAAGATTGCCATGGAAATAAAAAAAATAAATTAAAGGATAATTAAAGTTTTTTGATTAGATGGTGAAATTAAAAAGAAAAATTATTTTAATAAAAAAAATTACAATAATAATTAAAATAATCATTATTTTTATTATTTTTACTATAATCATAACTATAATTTAAACTACAAATTCTATAAGAAGACATAATGGTTCCATATGACAAAATTAATAAGAAGAATTTAAAATCAAACGAAAAGAATTGATTAAATTTAAAATAAACCAATATAAATATTTTATTAAAACATTAATTATTAGATAATAAATGTTAAATAGAGATCATAAAATAAAAAACCTTAAAACTTAATACGAGAAAAAAAAAAAGGAAAAAAAATGCTTGAAAAACAGGAAAGGGTGGTAAAATTGGGCCAAGCCTAGATATGTAGAGTCCCAAGCCAGCCTACAACCCTAGAGCCCATCCATCATCACCCCATTTTTTTATGCTTGCAAGCAGTGGAAGAGAAAAACCTGAAAAACAAAATCGAGAGAGTTTTTAATTTTTTCCCCTTCATTTATTTCTCTGGTAAAACAGCAGCAGAGATGGCGTTGAACAACGGTCTTAGATCAGCCTCCAAGCTATTCACTGCTTCCGAATCTCTTCTATCCAATTCAGGTCATTTACTCTCATCCTTAAAATTTTAAACCTTTTTGTTATTTATCAGTGAAGGAAAATCTCTTCTGGTCTTTTTGGTTGCTCAGAAACTGAGGGAGATTAGTGGAAACTGGGATTGTCTGGGTTTTTGGATAGAAATGGAGGGTTCTCTTATGATCTTGATTTAAATTTTAGATAAAAAATACTATGTTTTATTATGTGTTTGTGTGTCTTTTTTTTTTTTTTAAGATTGGTTTTTGTTTTTGTTTTTTTAGGGTTTCTGGTTTTTGCGGTGATGATTGATAGGTTGTTTTTTTTTTAACCATAAGTTGGTCTGATTGAAGTGAAATTGTGGGTTTTGTCTTAATAATTTCTTAGAGAATTAATGTTTAGTAGATATTGTTTGTAATCTCTGTTTTTCTTTTCTTTCTTTCTTTTTCTATTCAAGTTTTGTGTTGTTTGTGCTATACATGGTGGTAAAGAGTAGAATCTGCGGTTGAAGTGTATTATTGTACCGGGAAACTTGTAATCATCATTTCTTTCATGCCCTTTTTTTTTTGGTTATTAGGTCATGCTCAATGCTGTAACAACAGTTGTCATTGCAAATGTGTTAGGGTTCTAATTGAGCTGTTTTGCAATCGTTGTTTTCAATGAAATGTAATGGCAAGTGTAAGGTAATATTTATTTTCTGAAAAAGAGCTATAGTTTGGGATCGATGCTTGGTTTTTGTTGTTTGAAGACAATCTATGGTTTGGGATTGAAGCTTGGTTTTCGTTGTTCGAAGATAAGCTATAGTTTGGGATTGAGGTTCGGTTATTGTAATCGTGCGAAGATGAGCTGTAGTTTGGATTGAGGTTTGGTTTTTGTTATATGAAGACGAGCTGTTTGGCAAGGCTTTTTTCACCCACTCTGACACGGTATTGCTTTTAATGAAGGGTATTTATTTTTTTCACTAGTAAGAGACTATAATAATTATTATATAGGTGAAATATATACCAAAGGTCATGTAGAATGATAAATGCATGTTATTGTAGAACCATGGTTACAAATACTTGATTGGTCTTAATATTACTTTATAGTTTTTTTTATATTAGTTTGTGCATTAAAACATATTAAATTGATGATTTAATTGTATCTATATTTTATTTTCACTTTAACTCTTGTTGTTTTTGGGAATAAAGGATCCTGTCTTTTAATTATCAGGTGTATGTAATAACAAAGCTTTAGCTCTTAGTACGATTGAGTAAATTCAACTTATTTTCAGTGTTTAATTGATAAATTAAATACCAATCCATTATTTTGCATTTCATTCTTGCTACCAAACCTATCTAGCATCTTTGTTATTGCCAATTCTATCAAGTCCCATCTCATACTGGCATAAGACTGAGGGATTGTGAGTGCTGTTGATGGTTGTGTGAACTATGAGGTTTCAGATAAACTTCATTTTCTTTTCTGTGGTTTCATGTATGATGATTGGAAGTTGTTGGTTTTTGACAAGATAGTTGAGGTTGCCATGGTTTATTGGATTTATTTTGTTAGAAATGTGAGCTTACTGAGTATTATGCCTTTTAACAGTTAAATGGAGGTGCAGCATCCACAATTCCCTTCCTTTGCCAGCTATTTTTTATTTCCCCCCTTTTGTTCAGTTTCTTAGTTTTTGTTGCTCTGCTTCCTTTTCTTTCAACGATAAAAATTAGTTAAGTGAGAGACATGGAAATCATATTAATGAATGTGGTTGGCATGGATGGGATGTCAGTTTATAGGCATCCACATCAGCAGATAAACACCCTTGTGTCCTTTTTTGTTTGGTTTTTCAATTGATTTGAGAAACTGCCATGAAAGAGTGCTGGAAGACATAATGAGTTGTGATGCTTTAAGTGTTTGTGCACTTTTCGACCATTTCTCTCGTTTTGTATTGGACTTGCTGAAGTTTCTAGTAGATAGTTTTGAGAGTGTGATTATGGATTTTAACAAGCATCTTGAATTCCCATGCTAGTTCTTTTACATAATTTGATCCTCAAAGCAGGCTTAGCTTTTGAAAAAGTGTTGCTTCTTGTACACTCCCTCCATTTTCTCTCCACTCGATATCTCCCCCAAAGTCAATTTGAATTATTGAAAGAAACTTATTGAGAAATTTATTCTTTCACAATTGCTTTTGCTCCCAGCCTGTTTGTGCATGGTTTATGTCATGATTATTCTCATGATATTTAGGACTGAATCAATTTTTCATGTCTAATGACAGTGAATAGAGGTATCCACACGACAGGGGTGAAGAGGATGGGAGGAGGTCATGCACATGGCCATGACGAACCATTCTATCTTCATGCGAAGCACATGTACAATTTGGACCGGATGAAGTATCAGAAAATCAAAATGCCTCTTGCTGTGTTCACTGCCTTCAGCATTGGAATAATTGTACCTGTCTATGCTGTCATTTTCCAGCAGAAAAAGACCGCTTCTGGCTAAGTCATTATTCAGAGCTTCTTTTGCAATAACGGGAACAAGTTTGTCCCGCTTGGGTTGTGGATTGTTGACATCGTTCAAGTTGACAGTTTGCCAATTAGGGTTGTTTTTGGTTCATTGGGCAGTGTTTTTTTCACTCCTTAATCTTGGAAATAGGTTATCCAATACTGCATGTTATAATAATATCCTTTGGCACGGAAACCACTTCCGTCGAAAGGTCTTATTCCTTGCTTTGTTCATCATGCTTAAGATGGATACATTAGAACTCGATCTTCTTTGAGTTGTTGTGATGAGATCATCTGGTCTTCGGGCACATAATAGTGGAATGGGTTATCGTTCTAGGAAATTTGTTAGCACTTGATATGTCAGAATAATTTTATATTTTACCCAACTATTTGCCCCTGCCATATAGCTCTCACCTTTTGCCTCCAGGTATTTACGGCCGCGGGAGCACTTTCCAGTAACCTGAAATGCTTTTGTATATCCTTGTCTTCTGGGTTATCGAACTTGGCACGAAAGAAAGGGATGGAGCGCCATGGGAGGCTGTTTGAACGGCAGTTCATGATCGCAAAGTGCAGGTTGCAGGCCTGTATTTACAAGATCCATGTGTTTTGATGGTTTAGGGGATTCATCCCTCTTTAGCTAAGTATGGGGATGCAAATTTCAGATCAAGCTGTTGCTTGGATAGCTTGCCTTCTACTACTAGCTTGGAGGTTGATTTGATCTTTAGACGGGAGAAAAAAAAAGAAAAAAAGTATATGCACTGCAAGGCAGTACGTGTTTTCCCCCCTCTTTCATGGAAGTGCTTGTTGACAACTGTCTTCGTGAGCAACAAATTCGTCTTTATCCTTTGTCTCTAGCAGCTGTTGATTTACCGCGCTTCTCTTTTTTATTTGTTGCGTAAAGTAATTACAAGGTAAAGGTGACCATGGCCTCTACATGAAAAAGTGAGGGTGTCTTCTTCTTTTATTTTTTCCCTTCTTTTTTTCTTGAACGATGGTTTAAGATATTTGCTTTTTGGGGGGAAGAATTAGGAACCTAATAATGCAAATTAGTATATTTAAAATTAAGAAGATTCGAGATATGACGGCTGTGATCATGTTCTTTTGGATAAGCTTGGCTACGGGAGCATCTTGGGTGCCAACTCCGGTCAGCAATTGTGAGTCCCCCAGTTTGGTGTCTGTGTTTAGTAATATGGGAAATAATATGGGTGCCTTTTTTAAAAGTTTTTTTTTTTTTTTTTGAAGAAAAGTAACATATTTTTAGTTTTTTTAATGTTATTTTATCAAAACTATAAAAAAATACTTAAAAAACATTAATTTAATATTTTTTAAGTAAAAAAAGCTTTTAAAAATAGAAATTATCATAATGTCAAATAAACACTTAACATGTATTTGGTACGGTGATGTAAAGTGTTTTTTTATATATATATTTTTAAAAAATTTCATAATAGCACATAAAAAAATTAAAAAATTCTAAAAAAATTAACTTGGTGTATATATATATTGAGGATTTCATGACAAATTAACATTATTTTAAGTCAAGTCAGCGCTTTCAATTCCTTACACCGAAAAGAGCAGTGAAAATAGAGTTACTTTTCCGTCAAGAATCTACCAATGACCTCTCCTTTCTTCGTCTGTCAAGGAAGAGAGCTTCAATTTTGTGATGATCACAAGAAAGCATTAATTAAAAATTATTTTAAAATCTACCTCCCTCTTGACGTTTATTAAGTAGTATTTAATTAACACATGCACAATAATCTCATACTGCCTAGATCACATAAATTCCTTTTAACCAATGATAGTATACCTAGTTATCGAGCACGGGTAGCATTAATTTTATTTATTTATTTTTAATCAATGAAAATCTTTTATTCTAATTTATTTAATTTTTTTACTAAAAATGAGTTATTTGAATATGAAAAAATATTTTTAAAATAATAAAAACTATCTAACATATCGTTTGCTTAATAAATTGTCATGTATATATTAGGCACAAAGAAAAGAAATTCCGCTGTCTCAACATCAAGAAATTATTGTTATTATTATTTTATTTTGGTGGTTATCTTTGTGGTAAAAACCAAGTGAATTCAAGGCATTATTGATGCCAAGTCCTTTTATAAAGTGTATTTATTTTTTAAAAAAAGAAAACTCTCAAGATCTCCCCTTAGATTCCAAATGGAGACCGTTCTCGTTGGACCCTGATTTTATTTTTATAAATTCGAATTTACTCAATTTTGACTGCAATCAAATTTGATAATTAGTCAAGAATTTATTTGGAAAAGGAAAAACCTAAAAAATGAAAAACCCAAAAGGATAATAAAAGTGACAAGCTTGTTTGGACAAAACGGGATATGGGAAAGACAAAAGGGAGACGACCAGATTCCTCATTATTTGCCCTCCACCATTTGCTTTTATGCTACAAGTGGACAACCAGGCAAACCCTAATCCAACAAATCAAATCATGTATATATAAAAGAGGAGGAAGAAGGAGGAGGTGGATCCTCCTCATCCATTGATGGAAGGCCATGTGGCAAGGCCATCCTCCATCTTACAGCACTCTTTTCGTTTTACAGGTTCCCTATTTCCATGAGAGAATATAATGTGGCAAGAGAGAATCCCATTTATATTCTCTCTTAGTTATAATGATTTCTTGTTGCTTTTCCATTTCCTATTTATATAATATTCGCCCCTTACTTGCTCATGACAAAAACCACAAGCTGAAAATATAAACAATCAAGATTTCTGCAGATAGGTTTATCCCATAATTAAAAGATTATTTCCTTGTGCAGATCGCAGACATGGGACAAAAATGGCTGCAGAAATTAATAACAAAGTTCTCTAGGCTTCTTTTTTTTTGTTTAATGTATGTATTCAGGAATGTAATTGCCACTGGTGTCTTCAGCCCTTGTTCTTATTTCTTTAAAGTCAAAAAAGGAAGAAGAATCGACAGGCATGAGCACAGGAAAATGAGATCACACAGAAACTTGCATGTCTTTAATATATAATAATTCTAGAGAAATAATTCAACAAAGGAAGAAATTAAGGAGATGAACGATGATCTAGGTTGGTTTTCTGGGAAGAAAACAACAATAATCTCTTACCTTCCACCCACCAAAATCTCTCCTTCACAAAAGAAGACGGAAACTTGAAAACAAAGACCAGATCTTGGTAGGGAAATGGAGCCTTTGGGGGCCAGGTTCAATTCTTGATTCAAAATTGAAACCTCTCAGGATGACAGGAGAGTGGCCACTGAACCATGGTGTTACACAAAATCATAAAGCGAAAATCATTTTTGGCACCAAGTCATGCATAGAATTCCATTTCTTTCATATGAACAGACATGGCTAACAATCAACAATGGCAGCTTCAAAAGGCAACTCTACAATTACAGAGCGAAAATCAAAACAGAAACCCAAATAATTGTAGCTCAAAAACGACTGCTAAAAAGCCATACCAAAGCAAAAAAAGGGCAGTCGCAAACAAAACCGAATTTAGACTGAAAAAATTAAAAAAAAAAAACTTGCTTATTTTGACAATATTATTGAGAATCATTAGGGTTTTCATCTCCACTTTCGCTGCCTTGTGGTTGATTATCTTGATTATGATGCTCTAAATTCATGCCCAAACCAACCCTACAACTGCTATAAGGACTCACACCACCCAATATCATCCCCATATTACTCTCTGATATTCCTAATCCAAGTTGCTGATTAGCCCCCACTTGCTGCTGTACTATCATGGACCCAAGTTGAACCGGGCTTGAAACGCGGCCGCCGCCGCCGCCGCCAAAATTCACCCTTTGCATTGATGGCACTCCGGCTGCTGCCGCAGGAAAAGTCCACATCTGGGGTTCTTGAACGGAAGCTGTTGGGGTGGCACCACCTCCAACCGGTAACATCCAGAATGTATTTCCTCCATTCGTGGTTGCCGCCGGCGCAACTGCCCACATTGGAGTTGGTAACATGTTTGTTGCTGGCCTAATAGAACCGGCTGTTTCTTGATCTTGAACTCCAGCTCTTGATTTAGCAGAATTACTGGCTTCAATTGTTTCCGTGCTTTGTTGCTGTGTGGTTTCTTTAAAAAGATCTTCTCGAAAAGTCTTCCTCATGTAATTATCATCAGAAACAAGGTTTTGAGGATACAACTGATGGTGGAATCCTAACATCGGAGGGTTAGAGGCCACAGCTCTTCGAGTTTCGCTGGCATTATTGGCATCATAGAAAGCTAATCCACCATGAAAAGAAAGAGGAGCTGATTTTGATGCAGGTGCTGAAATAGTAGCACCACTGCTACGTAATGAAACATTCAAAGTAGAGAAGTTCGCCGGAATTGTACCGGTGCCAGTAGTAGCAATAATGGCCGGTTCAGCTTGTTGTAGTAACCACTCAATAGTTTCTCCATCAGATTTATGGCCTAATTCTCTTGTGAGCTGAAACACTCGTGCAGCACACATGGCTGGCATCCGGATGCGTCGGCCGCGGCCATCTACCTTGGTATGGCGGTCCTTTGAGGGCCTTTTTGTGGTGGACTTTGTGACAGCAGAATTGGATGTTGAAGTGGAAGGATGGGTACCAATTTGGCTAGATATGGAGCCCATGGATGGGCCCTGACTAGTGGGTGTAGTAGTAGTAGACCCATGTTGTTGTTGAAGTTGTGATGGTCGACTTTCAAGAGGGACTAACTGCAGTGAAGCTGCTACTGATTCTTGTTTTTGGCCATGGTACTGATCTTTGCTACCACTACTGTTGCTTTGTTGGTTTGCTGTATTTCTTTGTGATTCCATTAATTCCATCCGGGGTTGAGGCTGGTTTCAACTTGAAGCAAATAATTCTTCAACAAATTCTTCTTCTTCTTCTTCTTCTTCTTCTTCTTCTTCACCACAAAATCAAGTCTTGTTTCAATAATTGATTCAAACCATTATGTCTGCTACCTCCCTATTTTCTTCTCCTTCAGGTCACACCAGTACCACAGAAAACAAAACACCAACACCAAAAAATAAATAAATATATGGAAGACCTTGTGTATTTCCTCAAAAAAAAAAAAACAAAGTCTTTGTGGATTGCAAATATCCTCTCTTTATCTCTCTAGACACGCAGCACTGATAGTCTGGTAGTGCGTGGGGATCTTCTTTTCTTCCTTGTGATTGACTGCTGTCCCTCTTCAAAGAGAGAGAGAGAGAGATAAGAAAGGAGAAGTAGGTGAGAGGAGAGCCAATAAAGCTAAGAAAGAATCTGTATAGCTGGGCCTTAGAGATTAATTGCAGTAATAGTGCCCCACTCGTGGGGTCTCTCTCTCTCTCTCTCTCTCTCTCTCTCTCTAAAATTTGATTGATCATAGAGGAATGTTAATTGGACGATTAGCAGTAACAGGCTATGCTTCCATGATTTTC